TAACAGCCTACAGGCTAAAAACAGTCCTTACCTTTTCTGAGAGTCTCCACTGTTGAGACAAGATTATTTGTTATTAAAATAAAATTTCTTATTTGTTTTCCACCAGACTCATTTTGTCGTTTAATCCTGGCTATCTATATTTTACTATTTTTGTGCATGTGTTAAATGACCCCTTTTCTCACTAAAGATCACTCATTTAATATTTTTACTTTGTTTGTGGATTCGGTAGTCATAAGTAGTGTCTGGCACAAGGCCACCTTTTAATAAACCAGCACTGCATGCTACCGGGTCTGCAACACTATAAAAGGATGAAAGCAATGAAAGAAGTTACTTACGTATTTTTTCTTTCTTTTTTTAAGTTTTACACAGCACGTGTATGGCTACAGTAGCCAACTTGACCTGTTGTGGTGGTAAAAGGATGGTAAGCCAAGGATTGGTAGTGGGGAAGCAAGCAAAATCACACGGGGTTAAAAGATTGCGACAGTTAAAGTATACTCAGTGTAGGAAGGTTAATTTTTTTTTCGTCCCCGAAAACTTGAGTGTAGATATCACGTCGGGGTCACCATTGTGGATGTTATGGCTATTAGTGCTGGGTTGATTCTTTCACCTAAACATCCAAAAACTTGTTGAATGTCTTCGTCGCTGAAATAAATAGACAAAGAAAAGACGGAAGGATACGGAGACACTAGAGGAACAGTTTAGGACACTGATTTTATTTCCTTCTTTTAGATTCCAACGACCTCTTGTTGGGGAATTTCCTTCCCGAACAGTTGGCACGTGTTCACCAGTCAAAGGTCCAACAGAGAAAGAGACAGATTCTTCTAGTTTATCTTTGGCGCCAGGAAATCTCTCTTTTTTGCACATGCGTAAATTGTCTTTCCTGTCAGAGGTCTCCTGGAAGATTTTAATGTTTATTTTATTTTGTACTTTTATTTAATTTTGTATTTTTATTTTATTTTGTATTTTTATTTTATCCCCACATATCCATAAAAAGAATGTTCAACATAAAAATGTCTTAATATATATATATATATATATATATATATGAATAATATTGGTTTTCTACTTGTAATTTGTGATAATGTTTAGTGGAAGAGGCTGGTCCTCTTCTGTCTGCTTGGTTGACTGGCGTAACACAGGAGTTACGTTTCTTAGCAAAGTAACGATATATATTTTTTAATAACTTATAAATAAAATTAAAAATTATTACGGCTTTAGAACAATAAGAGAACAGAAATTAACAGAAATTTAACGATTGGCATTACATTTAATTTTTGTAAGATCAAAGTTGTCTGAAAAGCCAGAAGTCGGAAGAAAGTTTCTCATGAGAGAAGTGCGGTAGAAGGACCGGTTAGCATAGAACTTGCAGTTGCATCTTGCTATTAGGTTGGTGCAAAAAATAATGACGTAAGAATGTCGTTTTTTGACATAGAAAAGTACGTCAAAAAACGACATTATTACGTCATTATTTTTGCACCAACCTAATATTTCAACTGTAACATGATGAGACGATTTTTACTAGTTGCTTTCTTATTTTTCGTTGATCTTTCAACCAATTTTCATCAAACTTAAATGCTTTATAAATGTATCCTCTTTTACATCCCGGGTAGCACACTGAGAAATTGAATTTCAAAAACTCCAAAATAATTATGGTCTGAAGTGGGTCTTTATGTTACCTTTTTTACTCCTTCATGTCCTCGGCTAACTTCGATTGAATAAATATACAGACTAATTCTGTTGTATTAGTAACTACATTAATTCAAAATGATTTTTTTAATGAAAATACTTTAAAGTAATTGAAGAAGATAAACTCTGTTATATCTAAACATGATGCTCTTTTGCTCCATTCTAATTGAACGCTTTTTCGAAAAACTTCCTAGTATTTAATAAATAGATGGATGCTAGACTTATAAATGTCGAAGATAGATTCTTGCGAAAAATATTGAAATTTCTTGGAGACATAATGAAGAAAGAAGGCCTAGGGATTTTGCCACTCACAGGACCTAATGAAGCGAGACATAGGAAAACAACGGGTTTGTTTTAAAGGATTACAAAACGGGAACAATGCTTGATGGTAAAGGCTGAAAAGTTTCTTGGAGCAACAAAAGCCAGGCAGTTGGAAGACCAGTGCCAGACCTATTGACTTTTCCAGCATGTAAGACTTGTATAATTTTTTTTTAGAAGCATGTACTTAAAAAGAAAGAAAGAAAACAGAAAATTAAGTTATCTGATATATTTAATGGCAGTAATGATTTTAGACAAGAGATGAAAGAGAACGGTGGAAGAATTGTCAGCTGCCCGGATTGAGAAATCGGAGAACTGAGTTCGAATTCCAGTTGAGTTTATTACATTCACTTACGTGCTAATACCGCCGGGAAATGTATGAATCAATTTCTTCTCCCTAGCGATGGGTAAAATAGCAGGAGAGACTGGATCTTGTAGCCTTGGATGGCAACCAGTCTAAGACAAGGAAACTCTAAAATTAATAATATTTTCATAGTTCTTAATTCAATTAGTCTTGTTATTTCTTCTAAACCTTGTTCCGTCATTCATTTACTCAGGCTCATTAACCATTTGAGCCCTGACCACCGCTTTACCGGTGGTAGAGAAAAATGACGTAATACCCAGCCACTGGCTGAACAGCGGTAGAGAAAAGTGACTTAATACCCAGCCACTGGCTGAACAGTGGTAGAGAAAAATGATTAGTGCCCAGCCACTGGCTGAACAGTGGTAAAGAAAAGTGACGTAATACCCAGCCAGTGGCTGAACAGTGGTAGAGAAAAATGATTAGTGCCCAGCCACTGGCTGAACAGTGGTAGAGAAAAAAATGACAATGCCCAACCACTGACTGAACAGTGGTAGAGAAAAATGACGTAATGCCCAGTCACTGGCTGAACAGTGGTAAAGAAAAGTGACGTAATACCCAGCCAGTGGCTGAACAGTGGTAGAGAAAAATGATTAGTGCCCAGCCACTGGCTGAACAGTGGTAAAGAAAAGTGACGTAATACCCAGCCAGTGGCTGAACAGTGGTAGAGAAAATGATTAGTGCCCAGCCACTGGCTGAACAGTGGTAAAGAAAAAAGTGACGTAATACCCAGCCAGTGGCTGAACAGTGGTAGAAAAATGATTAGTGCCCAGCCACTGGCTGAACAGTGGTAGAGAAAAAAATGACAATGCCCAACCACTGACTGAACAGTGGTAGAGAAAAATGACGTAATGCCCAGTCACTGGCTGAACAGTGGTAGAGAAAAAAATGACAATGCCCAACCATTGACTGAACAGTGGTAGAGAAAAATGACGTAATGCCCAACCACCGGTTGAACAGTGGTAAAGAAAAGTGGCGTAATACCCAGCCACCGGTTGAACAGTGGTAGAGAAAAATGATTAGTGCCTAGCCACTGGCTGAACAGTGGTAGTGAAAAATGACGTAATGCCCAGCCACTGGCTGAACGGTGGGTAAACACTTGTAACTATTTTTATAACTACTGTGAAACATTGCATACCAGTTATTTAAGAATTTTTGATAGATGATCTCAGGCAAAAGGGTAAAAATTGTTCAGAAAAGCGGGGCTCAAATGTTATACGTTGTTTCTCTCTGCCCCTCTTGCCTTCAATCTGTCTGTCCTGTGAGTATCAGATTTCCAAGCCCTCTTTCCTCGTTATGCACTCAAGAAATTGCATCTGTCTCTTCCTGATGTTAAATATAAATTCTCTTTTTGCTTCCATTTTTCTAACACTTCGTCGTTTCTCACTTGTTCGATCCATGGTATGCTCAGCATACTCCTGTAGAACCACATTATTTTTTGCTTCTAGTCGCTTCCTCATTATCTCAAACGCAAACCACGTCGGAGTTAAATATTGTGCGAATGATTTTGAATGATTTCTTTGTCTACGTATATATATATATATATATATATATATATATATATATATATACAGTGCTGTTCGATAAAAGGGAATCACCTTATACTTTGAATTTAGCTCAATTTTCGTTTCATCGCAGAAGAGAACATTCTTCCAGTCTTCTACGGTGAAATTCTTGTAATAGTGAGCCTATTCAAGTCTCTTGCCTTTGTTGGCTTTGATTATTAGCGGCTTAAACCTTCGTGTACAAGATTTGTAGTCTTGTTCTAACAAGATTTGTAACCTTGTTCTGACGGACTGTTGAAGAGGCAAGACTAATACCTTGTTCTTCACTTACACTGGCTGCAATTTTTTGGCTATTTATAGTCCTATTCTTCGCAACTTCTCTCTTGATTAACCTGCCAGTTCTATCATCAATCTTTTTCTTTCGTCTCCTTGTTTCCTTCCTTGGAGCAGGAATGGCATCATTATGTGCCATAAGCACTCGAGAAACAGTTGATTGCGAGGTTATAGCAATTTCTGCAATTGTAGACTAGCCTCCTTTTGAGAGGGCAATAATAATGCCTTAAGTGGTTCTGATGCGTGTTTGTACCCTTTCATCTGGTTAGTGACTTGAGTGGCTATTTCAAGCTGTTTTTATACTGTGTGAGGCTATCTGGAATATTATGGAATACTCTAGATTTAATTTAAGCTGTTCTAGAATTCTCTAGAATATCGTTCTGAGTGTATTGTAAAATAGTTTTCAATATTTTGTCAAAGCTCTTTAAATTTACCAGTTTAATCATTAGAATGCGATATGTGAGTCACTTTTTTTGAACAGAGTTTTTTCCTGAATCTCATTTATATCCAAATTTATAATTATCAATAGAATACCTTAGGGTGAATAAACTTTTTTCCTAGGTGGTAGGGAAGGGGTCTTTATATTAGTAAGACTAAAAATTATTTTAACCCGAAAAACAATGGACAAAAAATATTTTTAGTAAAAAAACTCAGGTCAGTCACTTTTATCGAACAGCATTGTATATATATATATATATATATATATATATATATATATATATATATATATATATGCGTGCCTGTATGTTTTTGTGCCCATGAACGTCAGAGCCTTTGCAGATCAAAAGACAGGAATTATGGTTGGATATCTGGGAATATGCCCTCACGTCTTTCAATTTGACATCGAATTTACGGTAAATCCCTTTATTTGTTTTCCCGTCAGGGTTGTGCTGAGTGACACATTTTTTATTTGCTAATATACAGAACCCGCTTGGTGGAAAAGTTAAGCATTCCCCAGCGGCACAAGTCGGCTCCTTCTCAAATAAAAAAATAAAGAAAACTAAAAAAAAAACAAAACGAAAAAGACAAAGATAAAAAAGACAAAAAAAAACAAAAAAAAAAACAACAACAACAAAACACACTTTCTAATATCTATATATAAAAATGCGATGGTCAGTGT